CATCCCTAAATTGCAGTTTTAAAGTACACATTATTAACCTGCAGAGGTAATATTTCAGCAACCTCCTAAATAAAATGAGCAGTCTATTAGCAGCATTGGGATCATAAAGGATTATTGCACAGAATAAATAAAGATCTCCAACTTATTTTATTTAGCCTTTCATAGTAGGTTTGATTATTAAATAGATTTTTCTTGGAAATGTGTGTAAAGTGTCTAGAGTACAGTCTTTTAATTCTGTGCTTTACATATTAGCCTCTCTGTTTCTATACAGAATTGAATAGCTAGTAGTTCAAGGAAGGGGATTTAAATCTTCATTCTCATCTCTATTAGGTGGAGTGACTAGCTGTTCAGAGGGAACCAGCAACAGGGACAGTTTTAGACTTGAGGATGAAGTCCCTTACACTGGACCCTTCTGTGGACGAGCCAAAGTACACACTGACTTCACACCGAGTCCTTATGATACGGACTCTCTCAAAATCAAGGTGAGACATTTGTTATGTAAGGAGTTTGTTCATTCGTTTCTGATGTGTATGGGTATATAGCTCTTTAAAACAGACACAGTCATTTTAGCAAAACCTTTTTATAGAGTCAGTTCATAGTGAGCTGTCAAACCTAGTGTTGCAGGGTCTCTGAGTTAGGGGACTCCACCCTACCAAAATCCAGTTGAAATGTCAATGTGTGGTATACTCTTTATACTCTAGCCCCATTCAGTGGGAATGAGTGCTACTTTCGACTGGTGATCCTGGGAAATCAGGATGACTCTGGTTTTTCAGGGTTAGCTGGTATATTTCACAGACTCAGTCCTTCTACACAGGACACCTCCATCCACTGTTCCCCTAAACCTCTTCGTAAGCACATACTCAAACGATAAAAATATTCCACATTGCATTTCCCTAATCCAGAGGGCCTGGCAAAGATGTCTGGGGCAAGTGAAGGTGGAGAAAGTTGCACTATGAGCTTTCTCACTGAGGTGGGCAGCCCAACAGAATAGCATTACAGGGAGCCCAACCTTTCCTTGAGAAGATGCTGTCCACATATCATCTCTTCCAAAGCCTCCCTTCTCTCCATATTCTCAGTCAGTGTTCCCAGTGCCATCATCTTCCCATTTGCTCCAATCTATAATCCAGTCCTCATTTTTGAGTTTGCCCTCTCATCCAGATGGTATCCAAATGTTGATTCTTTTTCCTTTTACCTTCTCCAAGAGGCACCTTCTCCTCTTTGAGCAGATTTGCCAAAATTCTCACCCAGACCCTCAACATCTTGACTGCTGCAACCCTCTCCTCTGACCTTGGCTACTGTAACCTCGTTTCTCTTGAGTCCATTTAAAACACTCGTGCCAAAATCATATTTCTTGATTGTTACTTTGATTGTTAGCCCATGTACGCTATTCTGCTGACTCCTCCTTCTCACCCACATCCAATACAAGCTTTGTACATCAGTTTTAAAGCACTACATGACAAAGTTCTTCCCTGTTTACTTTTTATGCTACTTTATATTCTCAGTCTCAGCCTTTGTTCTGTGATTGTTTTTACCACCAGTTATTCTATCAGTTCCCAAAGCACCTCAGCTAATTGGGAACCAAATGGCATAACTATGAGGTCATGTAAATTTCTAACTATTAAGGCAGCTTGTTTTAGAGTTATGAGCTGTCTGCTGCTTAGGGCTGGAAACTTGTGAGTACAGTACATAAATTTTCAGCACTGTTCAATCAAAGCTCAAGACTTAGCTCTGACTTGGCTTTGAACCCCCAGGCTGAACATAAATTAGTCAGATTCAAATCTCTTGAATGCCTCCCCTATATATTGCACATCCAGTAATTTGATCTATGCCATCAAATGCCAGCAGTGCCCCACATATATATATATATATATATATATATATATTAGACATTTCAAAAAACATGGTGTCTTCACTTCATGGGACTGTGTACAAACATTTCCTTACCTTTCATTTCATGTGGCTTCCTACCTCAGAGTTTAATGGTCAAACAAACTCAAAACCTGGTGAAACCCTAAACTTTGCATGATTGGCTTTGGCTGAAATGTATTCGAGTTTTGCAGAGTTTATAAAAAACATTTTAATAAACTGGGTCTCAATTTCAAGTTTACAACAAAATCTCAAACCAGATGGGTTTGGAGATTTGCTGCATATGCTTTGTATGACACTATTTGAAACAGGATGGTAAATGTTTATTTTAAGGTTAAATTTTATAAAGTCTCATCCCATATGTGGGGATCGACAGGTTGCATTGTGTTGTCCATACAAGCAGAAAAAAGATCTACTTTCTGCCCTCTACTTCTCAACAGGAGTTCACAGAGCCAGGGCCCATCTTACCAAACATTACTCTGCAACTGTTTTCTGAAATTTTGTAACAGCAAGAAGTATTCCCAACTTGTGCAAAGAGAGTTACTTCACTCCAGAACATTAAAGTTGCTTCTGTTCAATGTCATCTGGATAGTTATTTTGTTCTTGCTTCATTGAGGTAACAGGACACATATTACTAACGGTCGGTCTCCCTCTGATTTGATGTACCTTTTTTCCCCCTCTAGAAAGGAGACATTATAGACATCATCTGCAAAACCCCCATGGGTATGTGGACAGGCATGCTGAATAACAAGGTGGGGTACTTCAAATTCATTTACGTCGATATTATTCTGGAAGAGGAACTCACGCCCAGGAAGATAAAGGCACACAGAAGGAGCAAAAGGGCCAAGCCTAAATCTCTGCAGGAACTTTTGGAGCGGGTCCATCTTCAGGTCAGCAAACACACTCCTAGTTGTGTGTGGAATGTGTTGTTTCAGTGCGCTTGCTCTTATTTTTTCAATAGAGCCAAGTCCAAAATGGCAAATTCCAGCAGTTCAGGAAATATTAATAGCCCAGAAGATACTACTTCCTTCCGTTTTCTAACCTGTGTGTATGTGGAGGTGAGGATGGTGGTTGTCAAAGGGTATGTGTACACTACAGAGTTTTGTCGGAAAACAGCCGTTTTTCCAAGAAAACCTGAGTTACGTCCACCCTGCAATCGCATTCTTCCGAAAGTAAATCGGAAGAACAGAGGGTTTTTTTCTGGCATTGGTAATCCTCTTTCTACGAGGAAGAAGCCTTTTTCCAAAAGAGTTCTTTCGGAAAAAAGGCGTATGTGGATGGGGAAGAGGGAGTTCTTTCGAAAGAAGAGGAAAGAGGAAAAAGCACTGTTGCGCTGGTGGCCACTCCATCCACAATAATCACAGCTTACATGCAAGATAGCGTCCATTCAGTGTGGATGCTATCTTTCGAAAAAGCAGATCGCTTTTTCAATGTGCTTTTGTGTGTGGATACTCTCTTTCGGAAGAAGTTTTTTCAGAAGATAAAAGGTTCTTCCCAAAGAATCCTGCAGTCTAGACATAGCCAAAATGAGACAAGAGAATGAAGTAATCCTTCATTTACTATGCCTTTTTTTTAGTTGGTATGGTCCTTGGGAAAGAGGCAATCTTTTTTTAGTACAGGCATATAGTGTGGCTAGCCCCATAGAACCTGATTTCTAATTGGGTCTCTATGTATTACTGCACTATAGATCATAAACAACAATAATGATATTGCACTGGTGTTTGTGTGGGAATGAATCACTTCTCTCTGGAGCAACATGCATACACACACACACACAGTTGCAGGCACGCTGAATAACAGTACATTCGTCCTAAGGCCATCTACGTTGTTCCCTGCATGATCTCTCTGGCTAGTACCAGTAAAAACAAAATAGCCAGCCTGTTTGAATTTACAAGGAAGTAACGCTATGTGCTGTAGGCTTGCTGTCTACACTAACTTTTTGATGCTACATTTCCAAGCCTATAAAAGTACATTAGTGAAAAAGAATCCCTTTGTGTACTTACTTTTGGTTTATAACAGACTGATACTTCATCTTCTTTATGACTGGAAAAAGTTGGACTACATTTTTTTTCTGGATACATAAAATCTGAATGCTGCTGCTTTGACTGTTTTATCAATGGAATAAATATTGTGACAGACATAAAATAATAAAAATGATAGCATGTATACAACACTACAGTTTCAAAGCAGTTTACAAACCTTAATTAATCTTCAAAATTTCCCACTGCATGTTAGTAATCTAAATATTATTGAGCAAATGTATCACGTGACTTGAATTTGGCTGCTGAGCTTCATTTTACAAATCAGTAACTGGAGAGGCAGAGAGGTTGTGAATAACCCAAGGTCACAGCCTGAGACAGCAGTGAGTAGTACACCAGAAGCTCCTCGTTTCAGCCCTATCTATACTCCATTTTCTGTTATAAAAGAAAGACAAATTATTTTCAGAAAGTATGTTACATTAAACTACAGAAGAGACCCAAGCTACAAAGATCAGACATTTACAATGTTTAGGGATGAATGAATCTGGGGTTTTGGTTTGTCTTGTTTGATCCAAGTACTGAAATTTTGGTGTTATTAGAATGAAGGGGTTTGGTTTATTCCATCTCTAATAAACAATATAAACTCTCTCAGAGGGTACGTCTAGACTGCAGAGTTTTTCTGGGATACCTGGAAAAGCTCTGCCACATCCAAGGAATGCATTTGCTTTTCAGAAAAAATTTCGGAAAAGCAGATGCGTTTTTTTCGGCATCCCTGTATACCTCGTTCTATGAGGAAGAAGGGATGTCTGAAAGAGGCTTTTTTCCAACATTTGGCCCAGTGTAGACAAGCCAATTGTTGGAAAAATAACTTTCGGAAGAAAAGCAGGAAAAGATACGCAAACTGCAGTTTGCAATTTACATATCTTTTTCTGAAAGAAATTTGTAGTCTAGACACAAACTTGGAGTCGTCTGCATAGTTATTCTGTTCTTGTTTTTATTTTTCCCCTGGCCTATTAATGAATCATATTCTGAATTCTGTATCAGAGTTATCCCTCCAGGCAATCCAACTTTAATTTAACAATAACTAATTAGAAAATATAAAGGACAATAATGCTCTTAATTTCATTGTGTGGCCTTTTGAATGGCTTATCTCATGCAGTAGACACTAAAGGATGCCTGTCATTATGGATATGTTTTACAGTTCCAAACAGTCCATGATGAAAATAGAAAACTTTTAGTTTCCAACAGGAATACAATACAAAGTCTTTTATGAAAGTCTTCTCATGTTTCTCAAATTAATATGGGAGTGTTATAAACACTGGGCCAGATCCTCATATGCTATAAATCAGATTCAATGAAGTTACTCTGATTTACACAAGCTGGAGTCTGGCCTGCTGTCAGCAGTTTGGATAGTAATAGATTAGACAATGTTACAGTTCAATTAGATAAATCCAGTCTGGATGTGAAGTGTTAGTGTGTCTGAGGTACACTTAGACATGTTGCAGGATGGTTCACATTATGGGCATAATGAGGAAGGGAACAGTAACTTGGCAGCTCTCTGTAATAAAAGCCCAGAGGCAGTCTCAGTGCTCCAGGAGTCATGATGACTTTTCTCCCCATTTCCACCAAAAATGAAAGAGAGAAATTGTGATTGTGTCTCTAAGGCTACATCTAGACTGCAAGCAGTACTTTCGAAAAAGCAAGCCGCTTTTTCGAAAGAGAGCACCCAGGCAGTCTGGATGCTCTCTTTCGAAAAAGCCCTGTTTGCATTCAAGAACGCCTTTTTTTGAAAGAGCACTTTCGAAAAAAGGCATTTTCCTCGTGAAATGAGGAGTACCACCATCGAAAGAAAAGCCGCGTTCTTTCGATTTAATTTCGAAAGAACGCGGCTGTAGTCTAGACGCAGGTGAAGTTTTTTCGAAAAAACCCTACAGTCTAGACACAGCCTAACTGAACCTGATGATTGCTTACTAAAGGAATTGTGTGCTTTACCTTTTGTAGGAATACTCATCTACTCTCTTGCTAAATGGCTATGAGACTTTGGAGGATTTAAAGGACCTACAAGAGAGCCATTTGATTGAACTAAATATTACAAACCCAGAAGACAGGTCAAGATTACTGTCTGCAGTTGAAAATCTCCAGGACTATGAAAGTAAGTGTGTAAATTTACATTCGATGTTATGGTCTCATTTTAAATGGAGACACAAACATATTTAAAATAATTTTGACTTCAGAAAATGTCCATATATTAGACTTTTTCCTCAAATAGGAGAAATTCCAGAAAAATTAACTTAGATACTGTTTTACCCTCTCCCAGAAATATATGAATGCCCTCCTAATCTTCAACATATTTGTGAGATAGACCAGCGCTATCATCCCTGATTTACAGATAAGGTTGAGGCACAAAATGGATAAGTGACACCAAGGAGTTCTGTGACTAACCAAGAAATTCAAATTAGATTTCCCATGTTCCAGACTTACTTCCTAGAAATTAATTAAAACATGTTTGGCATTAGAAATGATTTCCTGCAGAGGAAGATCTTCAACTTCTTCTCCTTTCCATGCACTGTTCTTCCAGTTTCACTTCTGGTAACAACCTTGAAATTTGCTAGAGTTTGTAGTACAGATCAGCAAACAATTGTTTGCATAAAACAGTAGTAGATCTGTACCCTTAGTTCAAAATTAAACTGAACTGGATCTTGTTTGAGGTTCAAGTTGTTTTTAGCTTTCCTTTTTTATCCTTATTTGCACTTGCTCCTTTCACTTCCTGGACTTGGAAGTACAACAACACATGCATTTGTTGTTATATTTCCAGCCTGATTTCTAATTCAAAATAGTTCAGATAAATTCCTATAAATAGTTACATACTTGGATACTTATCCAGACCAGGCCTAAGTAGAGTCTTGAGCCTTCTTGAGCAACCTCTTTGGCAGATATGCACTCTAAATTGAGGATCCTCTGGAAGAAAAAATTGGGACTTGGGAATGCAAAGTCTCTGATAAACATTTTAAGGATTTCTTAGGAATGCAAGCTTACAGCTCATCAAGAGCAGTAGCTCATCTACAACCCCCCAGTCTGGCTGATAACTTAGATGGAATGAATTTCTCTCCACCACTCAGTCATTCTTCTACACCTGGCCACACATCGAACACATAAAGCTCCGTTATTCGGAGATTTACCTCAAGTGGGAACCCCTATCTTATATATATCTTATATATATCTTACATATTCTGCTTCTCTGAGTTCAAAGACTTCCTCTGGCTGGCTTAGCACTCTCCCCGCCCCAGTTTTCTGTCTGGATCTTTTGGGACCCCTTATTCTGAGACCATATTTGGGTCTGTTTGGATCTCTCTCTGTCCATTACTATGTCTCCTTGTCCAAGATGGAAAGAAGAGAGACTCCATGCCAAGAGAGGTAGTTCAAATGGCTTTCTCTGTCCTCATGGTTATCTATGGACCAGGTGACAGATACACATCAGAAAAGTCATTTGTTGTCCTGTAGATGTTTTCAGCTGAATGCAGGGGAGGGGCCTTGCCAGTATAGTAGATACAATGATTGACGTGAGGATGAAGAGGAGCAAGCCTGGAAGAAAAGAGAGAACTACCCCCATTGTTTACTCTGTATTTTGGGTGGAGCCCTCCTCCCTTGGCTTGCCTTTGCACTGTGCATATGAATCCATATGCATGTAGGCTGCTAACTGACCATGCGGCACATTCTGTATATTTTATTCTACATGTTCCACATCAACAATTAAACAAAACAGGGACAGAAAATGCTCAAGCTATAGTTTTACAAAGATTTTCCTATTGGTACAAATTATGAGTAATTTTAACAGGCTTCTGCAGTCCTGAAATACTGTTCCAGTATGATGCTGTTATGGTTTACTGGTTTAAATACTCAAGCATTACAGGAAGCCATAACCATCTAAACTCTTTAACAGGCAGACATCAGTTAGTGTCTTTCTCCCACTTTTTTTAAGCACTTGATGTTCTTTATATTCCCAGGCCAACAAAAGTACAAGGATCAGGGGAAAATGTTCTTAACCTGGGATAGCCTTTTCATATTCTTTACATTAAATCTTGACTAATTAATCCTTATTATCCATGCAGGGCTGGGTAAACTCTTCTAAGGGCCTGGGCCTATTAGATTTTGTAAAATCCCTAGGCTCCAGGTGGAACAAAAAATGAGAGGTTCAAAGTGTGGGAGGATGCTGTGGGTTGAGGTGGAGGAGGGTTGTTGGGGAGAGGGATCTGTGCAGGGATTCTGACTCTGGGGTGGAGCTGGGATGAGGAGTTTGGGTGCAGGATAGGGCTCTAGGGACATGGGTTTGTAGTGCAGGAGGGGGCTCAGGGCAGGAGGTTGAAGTGTGGGGTCTGGGTGGGAGTTAGGGTGTGGGCTGGGGTTCAGGGCTAGGGCAGAGGGTTGGGGTTCAGGGTCTGGGAGGGAGTTAAGAAGTGGGATGAGGCTCAGGGCTGGGGCAGAGAATTGTGGTGCAGTGCGCTTCCTTGGAGTAGAACCACTTTGGGATTCCCAGCTAGTTGCAGGGGCAGAGCCTGAGATAAGGGCAGCATGGGATGGAGCTTCCCCCGGTGCTTGCAGTGACGTGGCTCCGGCCAAGTATGGGGGATGACAGCATGCAGAGACCCTCCCCATGGCCAGACAACATGCAAGGGCTTTAGTGCCTGCAGCCCAGCACCCCAGGCTATGGGAGTGTCACAAAAAGATTTGGACTTTTGGTGGACAGGAAATCTTTTTGCCAGACCTCCTTAGCCTGGGACCCTGGGCTGTAGCTCTTATAGCCCCTTTCTTAATCCAGCCCTGCATCCTTTGCCAGCGTGGGTTTATGCCATGGTTCCTCAGGCAGAATAGTATGCTTGAAGATATTTGTGCTGCAGTTGAACAACTGAAACTCTTATAATTGTTCTGTAAATAATAAATCTTGTTATGTGCTCCTTGTTTAAAGGTTATTGATGATGTGTTGCAATATGAGATCCATGGGTGAAATGAATAATTGGTTCACATCAGCTTTGAATACACAAGTTTTTCAGTTCAGTCAAATGATATTTTCAAAAAGCAGAATAGTGAATGAACCTCAGTTCAGGAGAACATTTAAGCATGTGCTTACTTAAAACCTTTGATTAAGTCCCAGAGGTGCTAGTAGGACTTTTGTATGCTTAACTTTAAGCACAAATTCAAGGAAAATGCTCTCCTGAATTAGGAGCATGGTGATGAAGCTGACCTTAACTGATTGCCAGAGCACAGAAGAATTTGTCAATGGATTGATGAGGAGAGAAGTAATGTACAAAATTTGACACGACACTCTAAAGTACAAAGATGTTAAGAACTAAAATTGATACAACTGCATAGAGGAATATAAATAGGCCATTCCATCAAGTAGTTACAACAAAAGAAGGGAAGCCAAGACGACCTTGGGGTTAAGTCCAACCTGAGTGTCTGATTCACTATGTGACCTTGGTCATCTCAATTGACCTCCTTGTGCTTCAGTCAAACCAAGTGGGAAAAATAGGCTGCAAAAGTTGGACAGCATTTTTATAAATGAACTCTGCATCTGAACTGAAATTTCCTAGGTTAATATATATGTTTAAATGGGCATGACTCAGTCCAGCATAAATGATATTTTAATTAAAATTGATTTTCTGCTGAGCTTAGAAGTAGGCAGCATAATTACCCTCCGCTACAAGGTAATGTTTACTGGCCGTAGAAGTTAGATGGAGGCACAGTAGATAAAACTTGAGCATGCATCTAGGTAAAAATAATGTTCTTTCTTTATACTGTGCGAAATAGTGCTGATGGCATATTTCTGTTCTAAGTTTGCCTTTCCCTCAGAAATTGAAACAGTTCCACAGTTTTGCACTGTAGTGGGGTTCCAGTGAAGCTTTTGTCTGAATCCTTGATGGAAGTCTAAGTTATGATCCAAAGTTGAAATTCAAGGTTTCCTGAAATACAACAACAATATTATTCATAATATTCAGACTCCACTTGGATATGGAAGCAGATGATCATTAAAAGCATAGATTTAAGATACAGGTTTTTTTCCCCCTATTCAGGTCCTTCTCTGACCTCTAGTATAAATCAGAGCAACCTCAGGACAGCTCTAACTTACATTCTTCTTGTATAGTTCCAGGGTAGCGGAGAACAGCAATACTGTAATGCCACATTTCTCAAACTGTGGGTCCCGACCCCCTGGCAGGTTGCGAGCAACTTAGAGGGGGGTTGCGAGCAACTTAGAGTGGAGTCATGGAATTACAAAGTTTAAGAACCCCGTCTGTAATGCATTTTAACATGCCCTTGACAGTGCTCCCAATCTACATTCTTGGCCATGGGCTGGGAGCAGGACCAGTGGAAAGTGCATTTGCTAATATTACACCTAAGACCCTATGCTTAGGAGCTGTTCTTGGGGACCATTTCTCACCCACTTTAAGCCTTTTTATACTGCCAAAGTGGCATTAAATGAGCCTTTATGTAATTGAGAAACAAGCCCATAGCTTAGTTCACATGTCTGGAGAAGCAAGTATTAGTAGCAGCAAATTCCTCATATGCAATTGATTTCGATGAGGCTCTTGCTCACTGCCCATAATAGGCTTCTTTTAGGGACCCTCCATGATAGCATTTGCCCTCAAGCCTAATAAGGTTGCTGATGCGAGGGAGGAAATGGGGGATATCTTTCCCCTATAAGAGAGAACGGTCAGGAAAACAACATTCCACCCCACACTAGAACCTTTGGCAGAAAGCACCCTATCAGGATTAGCTTGTAGAAAGGAAACCCCCAGAGATTTGACAGCAGTTATGTCCTAGGAAATAGAAACTTCATCATCCCTAATTTCTCATCTTGCCAGGGTCTCCCAATGGTTATTCAAAAGTACTGGTGTAATTAAATTGTGGTGTTTTGGACCAAATAGTCACAACATTGATAATTGCTTATTTGAGCCTGCAGAAATGTTCAGTCACGCGCACAAATAGCAATTGCTTTATTGCCAGGGACAAAGCATCATGGCCAAAGGCGATGGCATTATCGTTGCTGTGACAGTAGTCAACATTAACCACGCTGGACAAAATATGGACCCCAGATTCCGCTTAATTTACACATTGCACCACCTGTTTAAGTCAATCAGATTGCACATATACCATGGA